ACATTTGAAACAGCTATTCAAATTCCATTTGAAACATCTAGTGCAAGCATCTCGAATCCATCAAGTCCTGATTCTGATGAAGGTTCTACAATCAATTGATATATAATTGATGTTACTGCGTGGCAGTACATTTCTACAAGTCAAATCCTGTGCCGGGAGTCGTCCTCTCACCACCGTTCTCGCCACCGTTCAGCAAGGGCACTCAGGATATTCAGGCAACGGGCCATCCAGTGATCCCAGAAACAGCAGCCCCTGCTCGTCCTGGAGGGCTGAGTTGATAGCTGAGGAGCGGGGCACGGTCTCGACGGTCTTTTCTTCGATGGGAAGACCTCTGGATTCAGGGCTGCTTGTGCTTCCTGAATCATTTGGTGTTCCTTCTGCAGTGCCACGGTTAGCCAACTTTTTTGTATGTATATATATATATATATACACCTAACTATACACCTAGAACCTGATCGATCCCTGTTTTGGAGCAAAAAGATTGCCTTTTCCTATCAAAACAGAGGTCAAACGGGTCGTAGGTCAGTACTGTGCGTAGGCAAAAGTGTAACAACCTTAAGTACTTCGGTCGACCGAAGCAAATCCTCATCCAAACCCATCTGCTGCACCAAGTTCCACAGCAGCTGGCCTTGAACCGGTCAACGGCGAGGTCCGTTGACGTCGAGTGGCGAGTAATGGTGGCACTCCGCTACAGCCATGAAGCACTTAAGGTGTTGACCCAGGTGGAAGAACCAGGGTACCAGGTGGAAGAACGGAAAAGAATACTCGCGTTGTTGTTGCTTCGTGTCGGTTCGTGTCCTTGGTACTTCCTTGAGCCAGGTTACTAGGTGGAAGAACTGCGGGATCACTTGTTGGGCTTCTTGCACGTTCTTGATTCTTAATCTTGCAGTATGTTAAAGAGTCCTCAAAGAGGACCCACAAACAACTTCATCCGTGCGGTTCCATACCCCTATCTCCTACCAGGATCCTCCAATGGGTGTCCAAACGGACATCTCCATATACAACAAAATAGGTAATTAGCCCATGGTAATCCATTTGAACACCCATTGGAAGGTGGTAATCCGAGTCGTGGCGGTGCCATTCGCTTCGCCATGCGGCCCATCATCGGTGGGCGGATGCCGCGTGGCATCTCCCAAAGGAGCTCCACGAGTGGCACGAAGATCACTTCGCCACCTCGGAATAACCGGCGCGTCGGTTTCTCAGCAGAATCGGCCTGTCTCCACGAGCGTCGGCGCGGGACAAGCGTCACTTCCCGGTCCGAACTGGCATGGCCTGTCCAGGGAGGAAAGCTATACACCTCGTTTTCCAATGTTTTCCAATACAACATCGCCCACATCCGAATGATTTTTTTAGAACTTGGAAGCGTCAAGTTTGTCACCCTACAGGTCGAAAGACCCAGCAAAACCTGGTCCTTTACCTCATTGAGTGGTGTTTTGGCATGATCAACTCCAGTAAAATGAGGTTTTGATCTTATAATATAGAACTGTTCTTTAGCACATCAACTTGTGCAATGATATGCAATGATGTATCCTCCAATCGCCTTCCACACTGAAGATCCCTTGTGGTGCTCATATGGGCTCCGCCCAAACCCTGACTCAGACTCAAAAGGTATCGGTATAATTAGTTAGCAGGTTAGTTAGTTACACCCTCTCAACTAAATCTGAACCACCAGTTGGGAGCATTTCGCTCGTTTCTAGGTGCCGATGCCTGACCAAGAGCCCTGGAGAGCGGACAGGAAAGGCAACAGCTCGTGGCCACGCGGGCCACCTTCCTCAGGCGTCGGGCTCGTGGCTACAGCTTGTGCGGGCCTCAGTGGCCTGAAAAGAATACTGGACCTAATCTATGGACCTAATAGAGATGACCAAGAAGTCCGTACATCTCTCATCATCGCTCCAACGACCCTAGAGCATCACAATCCTCAAGATGGATTGTAAACATGCTCAAATCTCAAATCTGATCTTGCATCGTCAACCTCTTTCAGGATGAAGTGGGGCCGAGCCAAAATCACAACCCAACCCAGAGGGAACTAGAAGGATAATGGAAAGCCGGACAAGATGCAAAGCTGCATGCACCTGAAGAGTCCTCAACGTCAACGACTGTCCACAAACTGGACAACCCGACAAAGACTACTTGAATTTTCCGCGGCTGGCAGGGAGACAGTCGACCAAGATGATGAAAAAACCAAGCAGCTGGAACATCTGGATGGTGTCACAGCAGCCAGGACACCACGGGTCTCACGATGTGTCATAGCTGGTCATCAGGGAAAAACATGTAAATTGGAAACTGTTGGAAACCCATTGTTGGGGCTTCCAGGTCCAGGTCTTCTGAGATCCTCCCATCGAGACTGAGACAACCCCCTCCCAAGCGTGGGACTGGCCGGACTCCTGGGCCCCAAAGGGAAGACTGCTTTCCGTCCGATCTCCCCCCAAAACATCGCAGAGGTTCCACCCCCATGGTCCCAGAACTCACGAACACACCAGCCGACCCGACCTGGCCGACTCCACTGCCGACCTCCTCGCCACGGCGCGAAAAGAAGGGGCCCGGACCTCGGCCAGTTCTGGAGGTGGGCCTTAGCAGGGTGGAGCCCGGTATGGTTGGTGGGCGTCAGTGATTGGTGGGCCAGGCTTCCAAAGATAAACCCTGGAAAAGATGGAATCCAGACCTGAGGGTTTGTTCAGAAGCACCTGAAACAGCAACTCGTGAGCTCATTCTATGTGTCTTGGCTTGGCTCCCGAAGTGGGAGAAGAAGCCCTTCGACAGGTGCAGTCGTTCACCACCATTGTGCTCGTCCACCCGAGTGGGTCAGTTATGGTCAGTTTTTTGCTCTGGTCAAACGAGTGCCCTACAGAACAGGATCAAGCGAGGAGAGCTTCCAAATCTTATCATATATTTATACCATACTATACCAGGACCTTCCAACAGGCATTTTTTTGACAACGCTGAGCCTCTATAACAGGCTATTTATAAACACCCCTTGGAGGGTACTGGTTATATAGCTTTTGGAAAGGGAACTTCTGACCCACCCTCTTTGAGGAAGGCTGGACCCAAAGATGGGTGTTCTTCGTGGCACACACCCTCCGAAACTGCCCATCGATCATCAAGTGCCCCAAAAACAATTCCGACCCTGGAGGCAGTATGAGGGTGGTGGGCAGCCCTCTGGTTATGGCTCCGGGTCTCCAGGTCGGTTCCATGACCATCATCGCTTCCTGACCGGCCTTGCACTTCTCCGCGGCAGTGGACGCGGCGGCGTCCGCGGCGTCTGCGGCGGCCGCGCGTGGCCTGGGTGGGTCGAGTTCGAGTCAGCCGCATGTGTCGGACCATCACCAGGAAGACCCTTGAAGCGGTTCTACTTCTAGCACTTCTTGACCAGGATAGACCTGAAAAGGCACTTGGATCCCTACAGTATGGCAGGATTTGGATCTTCGGCAAGCCATCAATCCAGCAGCCCTTTCTTTGGAAGGCTTAGACACTTTCCACCTCCTGCTCGAGCCAAACGGATGGGATGCGGAGTTCTGAGTCGGACCTCGGTCGGTGTTTCCCGCCAGGTCTCCCATCCGTTCGGCCTATTTCGGGCGAACACACCATCCTTCGGCCTGGCGGCGGGCGAATCCGCGGCAGCGGAAGTGCTCGCTCCGCCACACGGAGGACCTGGGTGGGCGCCCTGGTGGCGGACCCAAGTGGTGGCTTTTGGTGAACAGGGTTGCAATGTGGGGGGTGAGTGAGTGAGTGAACATCTGCCCACTTCCAACGGGTGCCCTGTCTGGAGACCTGTGAGTAGGGTGGGGGTAGTCTATTGGACACCCAAACAGGATGATCCTGGTGGGTTCCTTTTTCTTGGGGGGGAGGTGAGTGAGTGTGGCAGCGTGGCAAGGAGGGCGCCTTTCAAGTGAGATGTTTTGAGGACCCAGCACCAACATGCGATCACAGTCCCAGGAATCAGTCGACCCATCCAAATGAACACCACGACCGCCTGCGGACTCCTTGCGCGCCTTGAAGATATAGACCTCCCCCATCAGCCGCAACGCCACGTGCCACTCCATCGCGCCGGACGCCGACGGTGGACTGCCGGGCAAGCGCTCCAGTTGTCGGCGCATGGCTTCTTTGAGGCCGCTGTGGCCGAAGAGCACCTGGGCCAGCAAAGGTGGAGGCCCTGCAGCTAGGGGAAGCCTGGATCCTACAAAAAGGGATGGATGATGGATCTTAAAAATGCCAATAACTGCAACAGGTCTTCTCAAATCGAAAAGAACGGTTCCAAGATTCGGAAACCCATCTGCTAAGAGCTAGAGTGAGCCTGCAAGCCTGCCCAGTCCATCAATAGGACATGTACAGGTGGGGCGCCTAGTGGCCCTGGTGAGGACAGCTGCAGCTTCGGGCTCTATCTCTCATCGTAGCTTCCCTTCAACAAGCATACAGTCCTGGACAACCCGGTGGGTGCTGCAGGTCTCCATGATCTCTCCAGGGTCTATTTCCACTGCACACCTTGGAGGGGGGGTATTCCCTTGCAGGATCCGACTCGCTCGGTCTTTACCGGGCCATCACTGCCACGTGGCACAAGCCTGGATCCGGTCGGGTGTGGTCAAGGGCCCCTCCAGTTCTTGGATCTCACCGCTGCTCAGCTCATCCACCTGAGAGGAGCTGAAAGGAGAATGGCAATGACCATGTGAGTGGTGCTATCATGTGCGATAGAACTATAGACTCTGGACCTTTTTGGGGGGTGGTCTTTTTGTGGAGACACTGGGGAGGTGCGGTGCGCTTGGGCCGATGAGTGTTACAGCCTACACTTGTGCACTATAGGCTTGCTGCACTTGCAAATCTGTTTACAAATACTGTGTACATCGACCAGATCCACGGCGGGCGCCCTGCTCTCACCTTAGTACGGCGTTCAGCCTGATCACACCTTGGCATTCCGAGCCAACTTCGAGAGCGCACCGCAAACTTCTTCTGGCCTCCGCAGCATCCTCATCCTGCACCCCCAGGCGGGACACCCAGGGAGGAAGCACCAGGCGCGAGGACGACGACGGCAAGGCCCAGAACACGAAGCACACACTGCGCGAGGGGATCCTCACGAGCAATGGCCTGCGTAGGTGGACGTGGGATCGAATGGCCGTGAGTGCGTGGGCAGACTGACTCCCAGTCGTGCGCTTGAGCTTTCAAACACCCACTACCGTGGGAGTGGCTGAGCATGTGCAAAAGATCATGGGCACGCCTATCCTCCAGTACTTTCGGCCCAAGTTCGCCTGCAATGACCAGTCAGTGCGCACGCATCCAAGGGCCAGCGCTCAGAAACACCCAGCGAATCAACGCGCGCCAATGCCACGGAGCAGGCCGCCATGGCGGCGCTGCTCTGGCGCCATGGGACATTTCTAGGCGAGATTGGAGGAAATAACGCAGGTTGAAGGGTACGGGTACCAAACACATGGCCTCAACTTGATGAATGCAAATTTCAGAGTATCTTTATTAGCCAACAGCCCAAAAGGCACACAAGCGACACAACCTGTAAACTGACCTCGAAGGCCTTGAGCCTCAAACCATTTGGGAAACATGCAAACTCTCAAGCTTGGAATTCGGTCTTCCGGACATTCTTTCGCTCGGGCTCCAACTACCCCCAAGAGAGAGAAAACACAACCAGCTATGGCAGCTATGGAGTGGAGTTCTGTATACACTCCGACTCACTAACATGGAAGTGGAGAACCCACGAACCCACCGTTTGTAGAGGAAAGTAGTCGAGTCAGAGTGTAACTCTATGCCCTTTGAGGATGTTGGACTCCTGCGTCAACAAGGGAGCACCCATCCGCACCCTCCCGCCTAGCATGCTGCCAGCCTTCCAGCTGCTCGTTGAGGCTCACATGCCGAGCGTGGCGCCGCAATCGCTGGAGCGCGCCTGGCCACGTTCCCCACGACATCGGCACAGGCGATTTCGAAGCGATAAGCAAAAGACCGACTGGACGAGCCGTGAAAACAGGCTGAAGCCTTGAAGCAAAAAAGAAGCCTAAGAAGGTAAATGGACCGAGTTCAAGGCTTGAAACGCCAAGAAGTTCAACGAGTTTGATCTGGTGTTGCGCCGGGTGTTCCCAACACCGAGCCGAACTTCGTCGATTGAGGGCATGCCCTATTCGGGTCCACCACACCCGAGCTTTAAATGGGGGCACCTGAGGAGTTTGGGCACCAGAGCTGGGTTGAGTTGGGTCCTATGCGCCGGCGCAATGCGAAAAAGGCGCATTGGGTTCTTTGGAAGCCAGGACCTTCAGTTATAGCGACCGTCAGATTCCAGGATCCAACGAGAAAGGTCTGTAAAAGGATCATGATATAAGCAGACTCCAGTTCGAGGTCACCAAGGTCCAGAGTTTAACTCTTCAATGTCCACATCTCCGCTTTCCTTCTGTCTGGTTCACCCCCCTCGGTGGCCACGGGTCGTGCGGATGGGTGGCCTGGTGGCTTTTACAGACGGGGTCGCAAGGTGGGGAAGTGGGTATCACCCTAGCGTCTGGCGTGCTTGCAGAATCGAACACAAGAGCCGGCAAACACACTCTAGGAGTCACAAAGGGGTGGTTATGGGACCCTTAAGTGAGTAAATAATGGGCACCCCTATCCTCCAATAGACACCCCTTTGTAACTCCTGGCTAACAAAAAGAAATGGAAACAATAATCATGTCCAGTTTGCACTTGCCTATAGGTGATTCAACACCTAGGAAACCGATCGGCATGTGATTGAACACCGCAGCATTTGCGGCATGTCTCAGCTTTACTTCAGAGTCCCAAGGGGACGAAAGCTATAGGCATTTATTTCATGCCTTAAGCAGGAGAGATCTGCGGATCCCGCGCGCCTGCTTTTCGCAAGCACCCTAATCCAGCCGCTAAGGTGTGGATGGCTTGCCGCTCCTGGGGCGGTCTCAACTAGCCGCTAGCCAGATACCAGCACCTTTTAACAGGTCTCCTTTGGAGGGTTGTTAGGCTGTTAGGCCCTAACAGGTTTCTGATATATGATATATGTAAAGAATGTCATGTTTCAAGACCTCTGTTGCTTCTGCTTCTGGGCGGCGAGCGGCATATCTCTGTTTATTATCGACTTGGATGGGCGGGGTTCAGGGTGAAAAGGATCGACCCTGGCAGGGGAACATTGGGCATGGCCAGGTTGGAATTCTAAGTGTCGCAAGCGACATCAAAATGGTCAGGTTGGGAGGGTAGAACTCTTCAACATGTAGATGCCCGCTTTGGTGCTGCCCGGTCATGAACCACAAACCATAAAGTCGAAATCGAGGACATCCAGGATAGGATGCCTCTGCACGTTGGATCACAAAACCAGAAAATTATGGTGGCAAAATAGCTTAGCCGCTGCAGGTCTCTGTTTGGCCATGGTGCACACTGGGTAGGCGACCTTGATCGCACAACCCGAGCAAGAAATCATGTTATAGTAAAGGGGAATTCATGGAATGGCTATTCTTCTTTGCCCTAGGATGTGCGCCTTCTACTCTGACTGTAGTCACTATAGTCCCTTCCTTCATTGCCAGAACATGAGCAAGGCCCACTGGCCGAGTGCTCGCTACTCTCTGGACAGGGAGTGTTTCTTTCTTTCTCCCTCTCCCTCTCTCCTTTTTCTCTGAACAAGGGAAAGTCCTAGCCAGCTCTTTAGAGAAAGGCAAACACTTAGATCACCACTCAGAATGTATTGGAAACCGTTTATATCTATTTGGGGACCACAAAAAAGGCTATCCCTGCCCAGGTTCCCAACATAGCGTGCGGCTGGCGTCTTGTCTTGAGTCACCCTGTCTACCAACTGATAGGGCTCCGGTTCAGGGGACCATTTTCGGAAAAGGACGGGTCCCGGTCTGAAGTGGATCTGGGTCCGGGTCTAATATCTTTCTCAAAAAAAACTTCCAAGACTCATCAAACCCCCAACGGCCAAAAGCAAAGCACCCTGCAGGACTTCCTCAACCGATGCAGGGCCCACACATGAGACGGCACAAACCCCTCTGCACCCCGCGAGACGTCCCGCGCCTGCCGCACCTGTTGCGCCATCAGGCGCCACCCGACCCAGCATCGAGCGAAGGACGATTCTTCGAAGCGTCCATGAAGACCTCTCCGCAGCGGATGATGACTGTGGCCACCAGTGGGCAAAGGTTGCGTATACAGTTCAAAGACCTCATTTTGCTGGAGTTGGTCATGCAAAAACACTACTCAAGGAGGTAAGGGACCAGGTTTTTGCTGGGTCTTTGGACATGTAGGGTTGATGATATGAAACAGTCAGAGCCACTTTTCCCTCACCAATGGGTTTTGGGACCCCTTGCTCCACAATCATATGTCTCCCTCAAGGGTCTACAAACTATGGCACTATGGGCTTCATGAATTTATCACCACACCCAGTAGCTCTGCTCATGCGCCAATTTATATACAGTAGGTTCTCTTTAAATTGGGACATTGGGATCCTTTGTTTGGGTATAGGGAAGACAACACCCATTGATATAACCCTCTGCACCCTGGTCCCTTGGCCCCCTAAGTCCTTCCTCCATCTTCCTCCCCAAAACACCGGGTACTCTCCAAGGCTCACGCCAAAAATATATACATGTCTTGGATTCGCGCGTCAGCCAACTAGATCAGTCATGATAAGTGAAACATGCCCCCAAACGGTGATGTTGATCCATTCCATTCAGGGAGAAAAACGCACATTAATTATCTATGTAACCTAATCCCAAACACCAGAATGAACATTGTAGCTATTCACACGATTCTGCCTTGGCCTTTCTGGAACCCATCCCCGCACCCAGTCGCGCGCCTCGCAGCCGCTGCGTGCCCAGGTGCCGCCGCCTGGCCGCGGCGCGCCACAGCGCCAGCGTGCGTGCGAAGATGGACCTGCCGGTGGCGAGCGCCGAACACCAAAGGAACAGCATACAAATCTCTATGCATGGCTTTGAGATGCTAGCATTTCAGGATGTTTATAGCGCGACTTGCGGTCCCTGTCCGTCACGGCCGTTCATAGGCAGTGAAGTTTCAGGATGTTTATAAAATCCAAGAATCCATCCCATACCGGTCCACTTAGTTGTGCGCATCTTGCATTGCCCGCATTTTGACCTACATTGCTATTTGTGTGTGTGTTTTTTCCCTCTTCAGGGGTCAATGTGGGCAATATATGGCAATATAATGTAGACACTAATGAAGGCTCTTGATTAATAAACCCCCCATAACCCCCCATCTAAAGGGGATATCCAATTCAAAAGGGCGGGTTTTTTAATCAAGAGTCTACATTATCCCACGCATGGAGTGTCCTTTCGGCTGGGCCTATTTTGCACGTGCTGCAGCGTCTCTGCCAAATGTGCATGTCGTCGGGCCACGCGCATGGTCTCCAGCAGATCATGCAGCGCCCCTGGCCGTGGCGCTGGAGATCGAAGGAGCCAGCGGTTTTGTGAATTGTTTTGGTGAAAAGTCAAAACACCCTAAGACATTGTCCACTGCTTGGGGAGCTCCACCATCCTAAGATCATTGATTGAAACGTCAACAATTCCTTTGGGGGTATCCAATGTCAGCTGCCCTATGTTTTTTTCATCATTGTCCACCGCTTGGGGTGCTCCCGGTCCCCAGTCAGGCGGATCTCAAAACGGTCTGCGCCTGGGTGGTTGTCAACACAAGAAATCATACCTATAGAAAAAATATACTCTTGACCAACACGGGAAAAGGCTGCCCCCTGTTGATTCTTGGGCACGCCCAGGGTGATGGCAGCTCCCATCTTTTGTAACGCTAATTAGATCTAATTAGTGGTGATGCTTCGAGGAAAAGCCCATAAATGCCAATCCCCATAAATGCAAAACAGCGCCTGAACGCTGGTTCTTCAAAATGACCTTTGGATCCCCCTGCTGCAGGACGTCACTTGGGCCCGTAGAAGTCTAAAAGAGTCATTGAGGTACTCCAGCATGGTCAGTTTGAGGAAGCTGGTTGTGAGCAGCTTGGATCTTTCGTAGTCTCGCAGCACACGTCAGGCTCTTGAGCGCGGTCACGCCTCTCTGCAAGATTCGTTCAAGCCCTGAGGCAAGTGCTGTGAGCACAGAGCGCTCCTGGCTCGGGGCTGGGTCGGGGCTGATGGGGTGCTCTTTGAAGAGTCTTTTTGCTGGTGTTTGGTGTGTTTTTTTCTTCAGCCGAGTAGGACTAGAATAGCCTCGTCTACACTTCGAGTAGTGCTGCTCTAAACGAGTTCCAATGTGTCAACTGGATCTTGCGCCGGTGAACCACATGGAATTCGAATGGTTCCAAATCCCTTGAAGACGGTGTTTCCAAAATATCCCAATTCATCATAATTCATCCATGTATGCAATTGCTACCTACATTAGAGTCATAAATGGGGAAACTGCTTCATACAGTGCATGATCAAACTAGAAACGATCAA